GTACACTGCTGGTGGGAATGCAGACTGGTGCAGCCACTATGGAAAACAGTATGGAGGTTCCTCAAAAAATTAGAAATGGAGCTGCCTTTTGACCCACTACTAGAAATGTATCCTAACAATCCTGAAACATTCATCAGAAAGGATATATGTACCCCGATGTTCGTAGCAGCACAGTTTACAATAGCTAAGATCTGGAAACAGCCCAAGTGCCCATCAGTAGATGAGTCCATAATAAAGCTGTGGCACATTTACACCATGGAATACTATGCAGCTGTAAAGAAGAAAAATCTCGTACCCTTTGGGAGAGCATAGATGCACCTAGAGAATATTATGCTAAGTGAAATAAGCCAGGCAGAGAAAGACAAACATCAGATTATCTCGCTTATACGTTGAATCTAAAGAACTTAATAAACTGATGAATGGAATAGATCCAATGACATGGAAGCATAGATGAGACTGACGAATGTCAGAGGGATGGAGGAGGGGAGAAGGTGGAGGGGGAGAGAGTAACCAAAGAATTTATATGCATATATGCACAACCCAAGGACACGAACAATGGTGGGGAGAGGGACTGGGGAGAGGATGGGATGGGGTGGAACGGGTCATTCGGGAGAAAAAGGGACATCTGTAAAATTTTAAACAAAAATAAAAATTTTTAAAAAATGATGCTCAACATCACTAATCATCAGAAAGATGCAAATTAAAACCACAATGAAATATCACTTGTCAGAATAGCTATCATCAATAAATCAACAAACAAAAAGTGTTGCTGAGGATGTGGAGAAAGGGGAACCCTCTGGGAATGCAGATTGGTGCAGCCACTGTAGATGCAGTATGGAGTTACCTCAAAAAATTGAAAATGGAACTGCTTTATGACCCAGTAATTCCACTTCTGGGAATTTATCCTAAGGATCTCGTAAAACTAATTCAAAAGAATACATGCATCCCTATATTCATTGCAGCATTATTTGCAATATCCAAAATTTGGAAGCAGCCCAAGTGTCCATCAGTAGATGAGTGGATAAAACAGCTATGGTACATTTATACAATGGAATACTACTCTGCCATAAAAAGGAAGAAAATTTTACCCTTTGCAATAGCATGGATGCACCTGGGGGACATTATGCGAAGTGAAATGAGCCAGTCAGAGAAAGACAAGTACCATATACATTCAGTCATACTTGGAACCTAATGAACAAACTTAACTAAGAAGCAAAATAGAGAAAGACTCATAGATAGAGAACAAGCTAACAGCTGGGGGCTGGGGGGTGGAGAGATTGAATTAAAAAAGAAAAAACAAGAGAAAGAACTTGTGGACATGGACAACAGTGTGGTAATTGCAGGGAGAAGGTGTGTGTGGAGGTAGAGGAGGTTATGGGGGGATAAATGGTGATGGATAAAAAGTAAAAGAAAAGGGGGGTAAAAAGAATACGCTCATTCAAAGAGATGAGAAGTTTCATAGGAGAGACTTTGTATATGAAAGAAGCAAAAACCCCCTTTTTTTTTGTCTTCTACCTAGAAGCTTATGAGTCATATAAAAGCTTCTATTCTAATGGCAAAATTATTTTTGGATATTGAGAGACTAGAAAAAGAAAGCACTACACTGAGCAAGCTCTAAGAACATGCACAGTCAGGCAGGAACAAATCTGTGCACCCATCCTGCTCACCCCAATACCACAGCACCACAGCCTGGGTCTGCCGCGTCTAACCAGGGGCCACCCAGACCACACAGCTAAGAAATCACCTGCCACTGAGAAGGATCTCATTGTTAGCCACTGTCCCTAGGAGCAGCAGCATCTCTGACCTTCACAGTGTGGACTTGCGAGTTATGTAGGACAGTGGTTTATTAAACTTGAGTACACATCAGACTGGTGGAGGGCTTGTGAAAGCACAGAGTGCTGGGCCCCACCCCTAGGGTTTCTAAATTAGTAGGTCCTTGGCTGGGGTTTGATAATTTGTATTTCTAACAAGCTCCCAGGTAACACTGATGCTGCTGGTCCAGTAGGGTGACCGACATCTGGGTTTGCCGAGGACTCCAGGAGATTCCCAGGACCTGAGAACTTGCGGAGCTAAAATCAGAAAAGTCCCAGGCAAATTTTTCACCTTACTAAGTCCATGGACCACACTTTGAGAATCACTTTTTAAGGAGATAAGATCAAATTTAGATTTGAAGGGTGAGAGGAGGAAGAATAAAGAACGATCCTCAAGTTTCTGGTCTAAGCACATTGGCCCAAGGCAATGTCTCTGGGTCCCAAACTTCGCTACATATTGGAATCACCTAGAATCTTTTTCAAAAAATATTTTTATTGATTTTTTTTAGAGAGAGAGGAAGAAAGAGGAAGATAGAAACACTGATGAAAAGAAACATCGATTGGCTGCCTTCTGCACACCCCCTACTGGGGATTGAGCCTGAAACCCAGGCACGTGCCCTGACTGATAATTGAACCAGTGACATCTTGGTGCAATGGGATGATGCCACAGCAGCCAGGATCACCTGGAATCTTTAGAACATACTCATGCCAGAACCTCACCTCCAGGTATTCTGATTTAATTGGCATGGAATGTACCTGGGAAGCAGGATTTTAAATTTCCCGGGGTGATTCTAATGTGCAGCAAAGTTTGGGAACCACTGGGTTATGCTTTTCCCTTAGAATGCAATCCAGGAGAGCTGGCATATGAGGCAAATTAAAGAGTTGTAGATGTTTGTGAGCCATCAGTGGCTCTCAACCCTGGCTACATATTGGAATCCTCTGAGGAGCATCTTAAACACGTTGGCACCTGGGTTCCATCTCTAGCTATGCTGCTTGAATTGATTGGGGTTGGGCCTGAGCATTGGTAGTTGAAAAATCTCCCTAGGTACATATCATAAAATATTACTCAACTTTTAAAAGAAAAGAATGAAGCATGCAGGCAGGAGTTCTGAATCCAGTACAACATCAGGATTTGGAATTTCATGTTATCAAAAGTGTAGCTGGGCAATTGACCTAAGTCACATGCTCTGACCAAGGAAAAGGCAACAAGAATGTACCACCTAGAGAAAGTGCTCAGGTTCAGGTGGCCCACACAGAATGGAACTTCCTAAGGCTCCATTCTGGACTCTCTCATAGGCCTTCACAAGGTTTTGTGTGAGGTAATTAGAACAAAATTGCATATTTTTATAACAGATAGAGCTCATTTTCAGATGGAGATGCTTCTGGAGGGCTGCTTCTTCTCACTCAGCCCTTTTATGACATTGGGCATCCAAAATGACCCCCAGGCTATGTAAAGAGCTTGGATCACAGAATGGGAAATTTGCCTAAAATCAGGCATTTCAAAACACTCTCAAAGAGGCTCCATAAGGAGGCTGGCATTTGAGTTTAGGAGGGTGGCATTCAAACAAAGGAAGTGGCATGAGAGGAGGGCTCAGCAAGCAGGAAATGGTATCTTAAGCTAGATTGCAGGGAACATGAGATTAGAGGGATAAAGATGTAGGATTAGTAGGATAAACAATTCATTAGAACAAGCCTTGAAGGCTAGAATATCAAAAATAATTCTCACCTGTAAATATATGAAAAATATTTTTATACTCACTACTATTCAAATAAATACATTAAAATAATAATGATGAGGCACAATTTTTTGCTTTTTAAATTGACAAAGCTTTAAAAATTCATAATACTCAATGTTGGTAAGGGTTCAGGTCAACAGCTATTCCCATAGGCTGTTGATGAGAGTGTAAGTTGGGACATACTTTCTGAATGGCAGTTTGACATCAAAAGCTTTACACACACACATGCATATATATACATGTAGTGTGTATGCATGTATATATGCATATGTATGTGTACTCTTTATGTATGCATATATATGTCTGTATACACACACACAAGTGTGTGCACGCTCTTTGATTTATTATTTCCACTTCATTTAATATATGTTGGGGAATATTTAAGGATATAAACAAACATTTAGCAAAAATATTTATAACAGGAAAATATTAGAAACAAGGTACACATCAACCAATAGGGGATTTGTTAAATAAATTTAGGTTCCTGCATTCAGAAGAATACTATCCAGTCATTAAACACTGACCCAGAAGAGCATTTTACCTCCTCTCCTCCCAGCCCACTGGATGCATGTACACTTTCATCTATGTCAGGGCTTCCACACAGTGACTTGGGGAGCCCTCTATCCAGAGGGATGTAGCTGAATCCACAAAGGGGGACACAGATTTGGTTTCTAGAAACCCCCAGGTGATCCAGATGCCCTCACTAGGTTGAAAATTGCTAATGTGAAAATATATTGCTGGTACAAAAAGATGACTGGGCTATACTGATTGAAAGAAGCATATGATGTGACATCATTTTTGGAAAACATTTATAGGCAAGTTAAAAAGTATGGAAGAACATATAGTGAGACATTAACCACTTTTCTCTAGGTGGCAGTACTATGGATCATAATTATTTTATTTTGCCTATCTGATTTTTCTGTTTTCAATAATGAGTACATATTAATTGTATAATTTAAATTTTTTTCTAAATAATAAGATGAGTAAAAATCCATTAAAATAAAAATATGCAAAAAAAGTTATATTTGTTCCATATTATTTCCCACAAATGACTGTATTTTGTGATTTCAAAATAGAAAACAAATATTTGTAAAACTTGTATATACCCTTATTTTTTAAGGAATTGGGCACTATAGGTATTCTGTGTCCCTAAAGGATAAGAGCCATCAGACAAATTTTCAAATAGTTGATGATTGATGCAGTTATTGAGTTTATCAGTGACTGGTTTAACCTCCTTTTTTTAACCTAGCAGAATTGAATTTAGTCATTTCCTGATCAAAGAATGCAATTTCAACTGACCTTTCTTTTGCACCTTGGTGAGTATTAGTTGTCAAAAATCAATTTTCTGCTTGTATGAAATTGTTCTAAAATATTTAATAGAAATAGTTTTAAAACATATTCACCTCTTTTTTCTATATTGTTGTATATTTGCATGACTCTTCTGTTGTATAACTGTGTCAAGCAAATAAAAAATTTCCCTTGAATATGTTTAGTAGGTATTCCTATCACTCCTTAATGGATTATTATCCTCAGCACATGAGTAAATAAAGTAAAATATGTACTAAAGAAAGTACAATACTCTCAGAGTCATAATTTACCAATATAATGCATTTCAATTTTTAAAAATAGCTCTGTTTTGAATGTAGCATTTGTCCTAGTGATGTGGTCTCATGAAGAATTTATAGGCAAAATTCCTTTTTCTGAGTAAGCAACAGCTCCGAGCTAAAAGGCCAAATTGTCCATGCCTCTGCTGTTTTTAATAAGCTGAGTTAATTTACATTAGTCATAGAAAAGATGTTTCCAACAATTATTTTCTTTGATCTTGACTTTATGTCTATAACAGACCTGCTTTTGGTTACCAAGTACTAACTAAATTGCTTAGAATCTTCTCTTCAAAGATTCATGCTGAATTTCTTCATGACAGTAAACTTTAAGAATCTTGTATTTTAATTTTACTACTTTTATACCCTGAGGCAATTTCCCAGTTAGATTTGCTGGTAATGGAGGAAAGAACAGTTCTAGATGGGAAATGCTCATTTGTTCTCTGTTGAAAATGTCCTGCCTCCCAGAGGTGAGTCACAAGTCAGTGGGAACAAAGATGTGCTATGTTGCACCCTGAGGACCATAAAGCGTAGATCTGGCCTCAGATAGTCAGAAAAGAGTTGTTTAATCTACATCTGGCTTGGGTGTTTTCTTTGGGAGTAAGCTAACATTCATAATTGGAAGTAACCACTGAGGATTGCTGCATCTTCTCCCCAGCTTCTATAGAGTATAACTTACACCTTGCTCAGAGAGTCCTCCTCAAGGAGACCCCTCTCTTTGGAAGAAAGGTCTCCAAAACTAAATTAGCTTGGGCAGAAAAGTCCTCGCTACAATACATTCTGGATTTCTAGACTCAAGGTACCCTGATCTAACCCAAATCTCTAGGGTTGCCGGGGGTCAAACTACAAACCCTGTTACCACACATCATCAGCTTGGGCGCTTTCTGTTCTGTTCTACCATAGGCATTTATGTAAATGCTGGAGCCTATATAACACTTTGTCTTGCATTCTGACTAAGGAAAATAAGAAGAAAGAATCATAAAACATGCATTGGCCCCAGGTTTGGAGAACTGGTTGCAAAGTGCAAACCTCATCTAATTGCATTCTTTGTACTTTTTCTTACCCATAATAAATAACTTGAGTATATAAGTGTATGTTTACAGCCTCCAAAACTCTGAGGTGCACTCCAAAGTACATGAAAACATCTCACATGTTTCAGAAAAGTATAGCAATATACAAAACTACTGAGAGATTATATGATAATGGTTATTTCTACAAAACGGTCCTTTGTTTTACAGAAAATTTGCTGTGCATTTTCTTTACATTCGTTCTTAATAAGATTCTAACTTTAAGTTGTATGTCATTTTTGAGGAATACATTGATTTTCTAAAGAAAATCTTTATTCTTCATCTTTATTGAATTAGTTCCAACCTATTGCTAATGCAACAATCTGGCAGCTGAAGTCCTTAGCCCAAGAAGGATATTGCTCAGTTTATCTTCAAGCATGAAACCTTAACTACTTATGTTTCTAGTCACTTTTTGCCAAGTATTTTTCGACCACAAGTTCATATTTGAAGTTAGAATATTACACAAATAATAGTTAACTAAATCCCAGAATATGTTTATTTCAGAAAAGTACACATCTGATTAAAACAAGTTTGGCCAAGTTAGGTTATAAAAGTAGGTTAAATCTCTGAGGCAACAATTCCAATAAAAGACTTCAGGATGGAACTTGTCTAAAGGAGTAAATCCCTGGAAGGGAAGTCTTAGTTAATCCACATATAGCATTGGCAGAGGTTTTATGCCTGACCTTGTTTCAAAAAGCCTCTGTCTATTACAGTCCAAAATTCTAACTAACTATTAGTCCTGGATGCCAATTCTAGGAAATAAAAGATCTGTGTTTGGATTATTGAGTGACTAAAAGGTAAATTCATGTTAACCAATCTAGGATCATATATTATGCAATGAAATAAAAAGTGATGGAACTAAGTTTCTTCACATATCTGTCTCAAAGAAAAAGAAACGTTGTGCCTTTGTTTTAGAATAATAATCCTTGCAATGAGATTGAAGATAGAAAATTCCCTGCTCAAACTGTCATTTGGTGACCTGTGGGGAAGTAAACATTATGTATCATATTCTTAACTGTAGAACTATGATCTATGTATGTTTGCAGAGTAATAATAATCACAAAATAACCAGATTAAAAAAGTAGTCCATGTGGGAAATGTATGCATAAAAGAAAGAACATTATTTTTCAAAAGCCTATATTTTTGGAGGACAAGTTGAAGGAAAGAAATCCATTAGATACAAAACAAATTAATAAATAAATTCTTTATTTTTATAATTGAGGAAACTGAGAAGAAACCAAGCTTAGTTCATAGAATGGTTTCTTGTGTGTGTGTGTG